TTGTGTGTTTCAGGAGAGGCTCAGCACTGAGCACTACGGTAAGCGGTATTCGGGATGCGTTCAAACGACGTATGTCGCGACTTACGTCCCGGGTGGAGTCGCTCACGGATGCCGAGACGCCTGCCTGGGATGAATTAAGCGACGGCCCAAGTTTGTTTCCAGCAGTTTAAGAACTTCAGTGCTAGTGCCACGGAACTTCCATGAAAAGCCAACAAAAACTGATAGTTTGCTGCATATGATAACAGCACCAACAAAGCAGTGGAAAGTGGTATATGAGAATGTGATGTATTTTGAAAGAAAAGTTGAAATTCGGGGAAAAAAGATTGAAATGAGAACGATAAGTCTAAGTAGGAATGTTTCAGCCCATTAAGTCTTACGTATTTAGTACAACAACTGGTTTTCGTCAATACGACCGTTGTGGTAATAGCATATATATTTAACAAAAAGAAAGCCTTTAAACCAAAAGTGGAAACTAAAGGTTTCTAAGTTATAATATTTGATATCTAGCATATATTTGTTAATAACTAATGTGTGGAGCCCAAGGATCGGTGATGTAGTAGATAGCATGTTGCGTTCGAATGTGAAAAGTTGTTCGATTCCTTCCCGTTCCATGATAGTTATTAGGTAAAGAGGATGCGATACCTAACAGACTTTCCGTGAGATAAAAGCGTGATTCTTGCATGATCGTTCCTCGTTTCTCGTGTCGCTGTTCCTCAGATCAGCATTTTGCGAAATTGACGACATTGCAGAGGGTAACGGTGGCATATCGCCTCAGCTACGAGAGATACGCGGGCTGGGTGTGCTCACCGAGGAGGAAGACGAACACCATAAGCACAGCCAGGCCGAAGCTGCCGATGCGAAGCGTCCTGATGTGGTCAAGAAGAGCAGCGGGAGTAGTGGACCCAGCTACGTATATTCGAGAAAAGGCAGGAGGCTGAGGCGTAAAATCTCCAAGCAGGCCGACGGACGCCTGAAGAAGAGGAGCACCGGTTCGTCAAGTATACGTAAGATAAGCGGTGATGGCGACGATGAGGTAAACCAGCTTGATTTTTATGCGTTTTTGCCTATATGCAAATTGCAAAAACGCATATTGAGACGACCTCGTCTGTGTG